AAATGAATGGGATCAGTCTGCATGTCTACTTAAATGATGCATATAAGTAGATGTGGTTCGTCGCCGTGCACTGTCAAGTCCGATTTTTCAGGTGTGCATTACCACATAACCTGAAAAGACTCGAAACTTATTCTGAGTTGGCTGGATAAGCACTGGTATTGTTCTAAATTGGACTATGGAGAAATCTGGGGGCGAGATGGCCAAGAATAAGCGATGCCAGCAGTCTCGTTACGGCCTGGGTTAATCTGATCCTCCTCAATATGAGCCCCTTTTTGGAAATGGGCACTGCCACTAATTCTCTCCAGTTGTCTGACACAGCCTTCTTACCCAAAATACAAGCATACAGATCAGACATGCCCTGACTGAAGACGTCATTCTCATCTTTGAACAGTGCTTGTCACCTCATTCCGAATTGGTTTGTTCCAACCAACTTCCATCCATAGTCTGGAAATCCAGTGTTCTGAGATACGAACGTGGACAGGGCCGAATCTCGCAACTTCAGGATAATACGGGTGAGATGGCCCAAGTGGTAAGAGCGTGAATTAACTGACCGGAATCGGAATCCGACCTCCGCCTCTCGACTTCCCCTGTCTAGGCTTGGGCAAATTGGCAGTATCTCAGCCCTCGTGCTTCCTTCGGGTGGCATAACAGCTAGGCACCGAAAGGGCGTTACAGGTGAACGACATTTAACATAACATAGAACTTGGAAAAATCTGACGCCAGTTCACGCTGGTGGTTTTTCTGTCCTACAGCATGTATTTTAAATACTAGCTGAACAGTCATAGTTTACGGCAATGAGGGGACGTTCGAGGGAAATGCGGAACGCCACTTTTTGAATATACGGTAGAAACACCATAAATGAGAGATTCGGCTAGTTTGTACCTCAGGAGGCAAATTACAATTGGGACCGGATTCGATTTACTTGAATCAGTGTTTATCTTCAGGAGAACCCTAATCTCTTAGAGGAGAGAGTTCTGTCAAGCAGACAATTTAAGAGGCTGAACACCACCGAAGAAAAGAATCATAAGAGCAGGACAGGGAACAGATTCTGTTGTTCAGACTGATTTGTTTACTGCCGAAGGAGAAACGACATATTATATCGCGTCGAGAGACCAAGTGTAGAGGCATAGAGAGGGGCTATGGGACTTCCACCATTCAATTTTATCTACGAATCACGGTAAACGTTTTATGTAAAAACGCGGCGTAGCGCAATTCAATGGAACTGGTGGGAGGCCTTAAATGCAAACAAAAAGCACCATCTGGCTGGTTGAATCGGGGACCGGACATTCGGGGAGTTTTATCTGTTTAAGACGCGCGTGAACTCATCTGGTCATTCCAGGTCTCAGCACAAACTAAACGGCTGCAGTGACCAAAGTTCCAAGAGGCCAGCTTAATCAATCGTTTCAAACTCATCTTCTGAGCTCAGGAAAGTCTGGCGGCTCTTCTGACACTGTCTTGTTTTTAATGTTGGGTCACGTTGTATTACAGTTATGTAAGTACTATAAACTGCGGCGCACGATTATTGTGTGTGCAAAGTGAAATTCCTCCAATACCTTTTGTCATTCTAGCCTTCTCGTCCAACGGGGATGCCCTATTTCATTGACAAAAACTGACGACTCGAGTCTCACAGCAAACGGTGAGGGTAGACGTCAAGACCGCACCATTCCGCCGCACCTTCCTACCGTTTTGGAGAGAACCGGACTCGACCTGCTCCACAGTGCGATCTAGTATAAACACAAGGTACTATTCGTTGGAACACAGAACAGTTGCAACACGGTACGACTGTAGTGGCGTCGGACGGGAGGATGGAGCAGCGCGCAATAATGCCCAACAGTTTCCAACATATTCATTATTACATTATATATTACTATCTTGTTATTTTATATCATACATATTGTATACTATACGTTCTTACATATTAAATATTATAGCATACTACATATTGTATGCTACATAATTGTTATCGAATTAATACATTCATTCATTATATCAGGGTCATCAATGGATGGTTTTGCGGATCTTATCCGAGTTTTACCGGTTCGTGTGAATACTAATCGTGTGCAAGTAGTGAACAAATATGGTGGAATGTTGATTGACTCTCACACTCGGATACGCTACTCTTAACCTGATAGAAAAGCGCTCTTTGCCGTTTCTGTGGATCTCCTTAGTGAGATGTACCAACATGGCAATGCCACCAGATTTGGGCGGAAACCCTTAATCTACAGATTGCTGATCTAAACTGTTGTCCAACCAAACAAGGACGTACTAGAACACTAAGTCCCAACACAAAAGCGCATGCTGTTGCTCGTACAGAATCGGTCCAATGAGAAGCGTTGTATTGGAAAATCGTGGACTCACCCGCTGACGTATCTGACAAAAAGTTTGATCCACCCATTCGGAACGCGAACTATACCAGCAATTTCGTGGGGTACGATCCTCACAAGTTTGTCTTTCCTTGTTTGATGTGGAATGGTTGTTGCAAACTGCGTCGAACAACACACTGCCAGTTGGTGTTTTCAGACATTGGACCTCTTGTTTATATTCACTGTTGACTTGCTTATGATCGGAGAGGTTCGCAGACGTTTGACACACAAAAGAAAAACCCACGGTGTATTTTAGAGGGGTGAAAGGCGAAGAAGTCGCCAGTTCCTTTTCGCATTTCTGATCAAGTTCAGATATTCTCTCTATGGCTCGTGTAAGATCACCTTTGCCATTCATCACGATTTACTTCCGAATGAGCGTCCTCCAGGTTTCTCTTCACGAATCGGTTCACCACAACACTCCTGTGGCAACAAAGTCAGTACTCATCACCAACCTTACGCGTGGCATCACTATGCAACTCCACCCAACTATTGCTCCAAAATCATTAACAGTAATTTTGCTATCGTCGCGACCGTGTTGAAAGGACCAATCAGGATCGACAATGCTCCAAAACAGTGATACGCCCATATCTGGACAGACTACCATAGACCAGTCGGTCGCTTGGGCTGTTAACATATTTGGTTTTGGAGTAGGGCTATTCATTTCCAGGATGTGTGAAATAAGAGTGATTGTTGAGACCGCCCCGATCAATGTGTATGAACAGCCAGGACATAAAATACCCTCAGATTTCCGGTCGTTGCTTTGTTGTCTTTTGGGTTAGTCAGCTGAAGTGTTTAGAGGAGCTATTTATAGGATGTCAGCGAACGGGTGCAATTGTGCTAAATGAAGATGAGCTGAATGGACTGTGCACATCTCCTCCCCCCACTTCCTCATAAGAAGTATAATCCTGGAAACCAAATAATTAGACTATGGTATGAATTCGAACTTATATTCGAAACAATCACCTATATAGCCCATGAGCTCTATCAGTTTGGAAACTAGATTCGGTCTCCAAGTCACCATCGTTATCATCTCCAATTCGGCCTTCATTGAGCCGCCAAATTACCCACTCATCCAAAACAGGGGTCAGTCTGTTGTCATTTTATGCAGAGACAGAAATTCAGAAAAAATATTGACATCCACAAATTAATGTACAACTGAACTGTGAAATTTCTCAAGTAATGTTGAAAAGCCGACTAGCACTGTACATCTGTTTCGAACCATCAGTAGTGAGCATCTCACGATGTACCAGCGACCGGCTAGTAGTGTCATGCTAGAACATGCTACTCATAGGGCTGGCGAGTAGCACGTTTCATCTGGAAAATATACTGTGATAACCCGAAAATCGTACCAACTTGAAAACAGGCGGGCTTTGTGCAACACAACTAGTTGAAGAACATCGCAACGAAAATTCCGTTCTTTTTTAGCTGAGCCTGGTTCTTTGCATGACGAGCTCAGGTTTTGTCCACCTTACAGACTGCAAACCGTCTGATATTAAGCATTTTCTACTCGTTATGGAGTTTACTATTTTAGCTTTTTTATGGGATACCACTGCAAACTTGTGGTTTGAAAAATAACCGCATTTTGTGGAAAAATTGGCTTGGTCGAGGGAACAGCGTTTACAGAGGCACTACTCATTTCAATATGACGGTAAGCTGGTTCAGGACCATGGTTTAGCTAGGATAATCAAGTTTCGAAAAACCAGAAGACAACGTGTTACATAAATCACGCGATCGGAGGAGTCACGTGGCGCGTAAAATGAATGTTTTACCCTTGTTATAGGAGACCCACATCTCGTTACAACAAAAAATGTGGACGAGAGAGGGACGGCCTTTTCACAAACAGGAAATCCTACAGAAACCTGACGAGGGGCGTCGTTTTCTTTCAAGAGGGAAACGATTGTTGGTTGTGGCAGATCCAAAGGTAACTTGCTAGACTCAAAGCAACAGTTTCGTCAGATTGGGACGGTGCTTTTCACCATCTGGGTTTAGTGTTGATGAACCTCCTCATACGTCAGCCCTGACGTCCCCCAATGAGAAACCTACGACAGCAGCCAGAAGAAGCGATGTGTGCAAGCGACATGGAGTCGGCTTGTCTTTCGTGTAGTTAGGTGCCAATCTTACCAAAATATCCGAGTTAGGAGAAAAAGTTTACACAGAGTTTTCAAACCGAGCGTTTGTTCGGAGAAGTGCATTGGAAAACTTCAGTCGAATGTTGCGGCCGGTATATTATTGTTGCTGTTATTGTTATACTGTTTCCTCGTCGATAGCAAAAGGATAGAAAAGGATGACCAGTTGGACTGATGTGGTATTGGCTCCACTTAAATTGAGCTCGGTCTGTGTGACGTACGAGTGAGAAGTAAAAAAATCGCTAGGCTGTAGCACCCTTCCGGTGCCTAACTGCCATGCCACCCGAAGGAAGCACGAGGACTGGGATACTGCAAGGTTGCTCAAGCCTAGACAGGGGAAGTTGAGGGGCAGAGGTCGGGTTCGAACCACGGACCTTCCGGTCAGTAACTTCGTGCTCTAACCACTTGGTCCATCTTGTACGAGTAAAAATGAACCATCGAATAATCTGGGTTAGAGCTTATTTTACATGACTGACCCTAATAACCGATTTGTGGAAGAAATCAACTCATGATCAAGATTATTGGAAATCACTGTACAACAATTGGAACAGATAGGACGTCCGGATCAACCGAAAAGTGTGAGTTCAGCTTTTAGGCTGGCTCGGCCTTGGCGCTTGACGTTAGCCCGCATATGACGCTTGACGTTCCGCTGAAAGTTCATTTGTTCCTGTTGACGTTTCTCCCGTCGGTGACGGGCCCGAATTTCCTCTTGACTGATCAGACCGTTACTGCTTGTTGGCTAAAAACACGGGAAGAGAATAGAGACCAACTCATAGAAAGGATAGTACAGACTCACAGGATACAGTTCTTGAGTAAGATAGTAACCGTACGTATACAAATACTCGACTGGAAGCGTTCGTTCGAAAAGTTAGGACGAGATAATTCAACTCAAATTATACACATGACCCATTTAAAGTCTGTGGTGCACGACGTTCAATGGCCACACCGACATCCAGCGCCTACAATCGCTGGCTTCAGGTACGGTTCAAAAAATCCCCACAGTTCATTTGGGCGATCAAAGAAAGTCGATGGTTGACGCAAAATAGGATGCGGAAAATTGGTCATTTGTTGGGTTACCCGTGGACCACGGACAACAAGGAGAAATGGGGATGGTTGGCAACCATGCTTGCGCAAAGAGAAGACAGACCATGCGGGCTGGTACCGATTATGTGATTACTTTAAAACACATGATAAGATTAGCCCACCTGAGGTGCCTACACCTCCAACCGCTCAATCAGACAATCTGGAAAGAAACTGACAGCACGAACGCCACTGACATCAATTAGCGGCCATGTCTTGCAACGTCTCCAGCCAAGCACAGACGGGGTCACGGGGACCCCAGCTGGAAGGCGCACAACACCAACAACACCCAAACTCTTCGTGATCTCTTTCATGCCTTTCTGCCAAGTCATGTGCTGTCCATCTCGCGGTTTGCGCCATCCTAAAGGAGGCACGGAGAACAACACCTGTTTCGGTAGACGGTGTTTCGGTAAGCGTAGCACATGACCGAGCCATCGTAGTCGACGATGCTGGATGTTTTCTCGGATTGAGGTGCCTGCTACGAAATACAGTGATCTGGTAGTTGAACGGTTCATTTTCATCCATGACCTGCGTGGTCAACAGGTGATTTGGCCTTGGGACATGTAGAAGAGAAGTCGAAGGGACATGCAACTCAACATGTCAGCTATTTTCGCAAGCAAATTTAAACCCATCGAGCCCAAGTGAAAGCAGTGCAGCGCAAACGGAAACGAAGCCTTCAGATGAAGTTTCCGTACTGTGCTTGAAAAACACAAGCAGTTCCAGTTAACCGAAATACACTGAAATGAGCAAACTATGAAAAATGGTGTACATTGGCTTAGATACTCACCTTAATCTCTGGAACTGTAGGTAGCTTAACTTTAGGACTTGATCTGAGGTCTGCTTTGTCAGGCGGCTCATCATCCGAAGACGACTGCTCGGTCGACTGGGATTCTTCATCCGCTGTTCTGTGAACACTGTCCTGATCACTCTCAGTGGATGCAACGGAGGAAACTTCGCACTCACTGTCCTCCGATGAATCATTCGAGTCGTCGCCATCATCTTCACTGCAGGAAGCCTTCCGTCTGGAAGTCGCACCTAGCAGTACCTGATGATCATCTCGAGTTCGGCCTCTGCGCTGGAATTTCTTGGACGGGAAACCAGGCGCTCTAACTTCTACATCTAGATAAGCAGTTCGCCTGGTTTGAGGGTATAAAAAAAACGAAGTGAGCGAACAAATCTATACAGAGCGTGCCATTTTAGGGTTTATAAAGGTGCAGAGCCACGAATCATTCGTACAGCTTAAAGGGGTAAGTAAATACAAACCAAGCGTTTTGAACTCAATCACAGAATTGAGGTCGTTATCTTGTTGAGTTGGGTTGACCTGAGTGTTAAAAGGATCATGCAGGTGATGCCCTTGGCTGGAAGTAAGCACCCTAAGATTAGATAATGTCAGAACGGTAACCGAAGCGTAATCCGACATGGGAAAGCAAGTCAATCAGGAGCCGCTCTGGAGTAACAGCCAAGCTGGTGGCCGCGAAAACGGTAATGAGAACAACAAGGTGTTTGCTTCAGATCAGCATACCCATATTTATCAAAGCCTTCCATCGAAGTAAGGCGGATCAGAAAATGTCGGCCATGAAAACCAAAAACTGCGACCGCTCGACGGTTGATCGTGATACCTGGGGCATTACCCAGTACGGTGGAGAAACAGACAAGCCTCATCATGTGTGCAGTGTAGCAGTATCATGCCCTCCATCGTCGGGCACAAATAGGCATCTGGAGCCCAATGCATCAGACTACTGAGTCCAGGAAGCTCCAGGAAGTCCCCTAGTCCAGTAGGATATGTAATCAAATCAAAGTACGTGTTACAAACAGCAGACTACAGCACCGTACCCTGGCAGCCGAGCTCAGACGCTGCTGCTGCCTCTGATTGGTGCATTGTGTTTCCTAAACTCGCATGCACGATCCCAGTTGGACGATACACCTCCAACGGCTCAAGACGCATAAGGATTTCACACTATTCACACTTCAGATGTCTTACGATACAATGGCTCGTGGAATCCACGGCGTGGAGGTTGCCCTCAGTTTCAAGGCAGAGTGTGCTTTACTGGACTGCATTCCGGAAAATAATTGTCTTTGCGACGTCTGTTGACTGGGTCAGTTAGGATAAATGCACGACAAAATAGTGTTCGTTTGTAGTATCAGCAGCTCAGAAACTGAGGAGAATGGATTTCATCGATGTCGGTTAGCAAAAAGTGGGAACGTCGTGATCAGTGGCAAATAATATGAATATCTAAGTCGGTGAAGTAAGTAGGGAAGAAGCCAACCTGGGCGGCTGACTTCTTCAACTACGTGCTGAACATCATTTTTAACCAATACGAACTTTTAGCACAATTGTCCACACCATCTGCTGGGAAGCAACTGACTGCAAACTAGCCGCGTACTCAATTGGATCACGCTGCAATCAGATGCCTGCAGAGAGCTTCGATTCAAGATTGCAGTTCCGAGAGAAGCTACGGACATGGGTTTTTTGAAATTCATATCGCAATAAACGATGGATGTAATCAGGATTAGTAGCCCCTATGGATGCCAGGAAAGCTATACTCATTTCATTGTCATCAGTAACAGTAATATACTGCTAATAAGTACTGGCGGTGTCATACAACCATGGGGGAAGACAGTGTCCAAAGAAGAGAAGAGTGAGGGGACCACTCCACTTGAAGCTCGTTCCCCCAATTCTACTTCGAACTCGAACATCAACAGACCTTGAGCCGATAGATCTTTCATTTTCGATGCATATGTTGCATTTTGCCACAACGATTTACTGAACAAAAACAGATTAGTACCATAAGAGAGACATTACCTTTAGCTGTTGGTCATGGAACAACTCATCACTTGTTGTATACCGTCTGACGAGAGGATAAGGCTATGAGTAGCTGGTTGTTATGAGACAACAGCCATAACTTAGAAAACCACTTCGATCGGTGATCCGAGTCACGTGAAAAAAACATGGAGGTTCGACGGCTTGGTGATGGCTGATGGTGAGCATGGGAACTAAGCATGACGCCACCACAAAACCAAGGTGGGTTTATCTCTCCTAGTACCATTTCGCAGTGCGAATAAGTGGTTGGGTAACTACAAACGAAAGCCGACTGGCGGTGGGGACGCCACAGGTATCATGTCTGTTCATCTGAATTACGGCCAGTGCAAATAGCTGCCAATAGCCACTACGATTCGAGTGACTTCTTCTCCCGAAGGATCAAGCCACACAAAAGTGAGTCAACGGATCACCTGCAGAACAACTATTCGAAACAAGGCAAAAACAACCACATGGACAAACTGGGTGCAAGACATACTTGATTTCAGACAGTGACAGGGGAAGATCCTCTTCGGGTATTTCGAAAAAGCGGGAGAAGAAGCTGACGATCCCTTCTGCATCCCGCCGGTATATGCTGAAATATAAACAAAATAAAGGACCAGTCAGGCGGAGTGCTGTTCATTTCTTTCTCGCTCCATCAGGTGAGTTCCTAGGGGACATTAAATAAGGTTTACTGTCTGCGATAGTTGGGATATGTGGGCTGACACAAGAATCACAAGGAACTCCTTCAAAACAGGGAATCGGGGACCAGTTGTTAAGAGCGAACGGCTGCGAGAGTCATACAATAGAGGTACTGAACTGGTGCCTAGTAATGCTCATGTAACATCGGAATCGAGATAGCTCAAGTGGTTAGAGCGCGAATTACTGATAG